GTATGTTTTAATCCTTTTAGATTCAGCTACTATAAGTGGGGTCAGAGCAGGTTATTCAGGTAGGGAAAATTATATAAGCAGAAGATTTTTAGGTGCTTTTTTTAAAGTGATAGTAAGCTCTACTTTTGAACTTGTACATACCTTCTGCTAAGCCTTTAATAAGGCTTATCTGTAGGTACAGTGAATATCTCCTAAACTTGCACTGTTTAGGAAATTTTCACACTAGATGCAGCCGATGACATCACCAGCACATGCAAAGGAACGACATGCACGTGCAGTCCCTTCAGATCGCTGTGCTTTAAACCCGGGCTCCTGTGCACATGTGTGGGAGTGATGTCATCGCGGCTCAGCCATTCAAAGGACTGGAGCTAGTGATCCTGAATGGAAGCCCTGTCAGTGGTGACAGCGCACCTCTGGAGGGCTTTGTTTTAAGGTGAGTATTTCACAATGTGCTATCACATTATTCCATTTGCCTTGCAGGGTTTTATTTTTCCTAAAGTCTGCAATTTACTATCTAGACCTAATCGATGTGTAGTGCTGTAGGCAAGCCCACAGCATACAAAAATTATGAGTTTTGTGGGGGGGGGGGGGGGGGGGAGGGAAATAAATACAATTAACTTACATTGTGAAGACAAATTAGAGATCTGGATCCCCAGTAGTTCTTGGTTACATAGATCAGTGTTTCTCTGCTCTTTTCAGTCAAGACACCCTTTAAAATTTGGCACAATCCTGAGGTACCCCATTGTTAATGTTAAAAACTAAACTAGAAGTTTTACATAACGAAGCAACATCCACACACACTTTGGAGGTGATTTGTTTTTACAAATCACCGCTAAATTTGCACCCTGGTACTGACACTGGTTCCAGTGTAACTCCGTTTTTCCTCACTCTGTTACCCCAGTGCTGATGGAGAGGAGCAGGAAAAGGGCAAATGAGGATGCTGTACAGGAGTCTAATGTTGTCCTTCTCACCCAGTGATGTCATCGGGTGTTAGGATACCAGTGGCTGGCCTCTATGGTGCCCAAGGTTGTAATGCTGCACAATGGAAACCTGTGGCTATGTGTGACAAAAAGACAGACAGGCTTCATCCACTCGCTGGTTTGTCCACAATTTTTAGACAATTTTGGCAAATTTTTATGGCATTGTTGCCAAGACACCCCTTCAGAATCCAGAAAGCACCTCAGGGTGCCACAGCACCATGTTTGAAAAAGGCTGACATGCACCCAGGGAATAATGTCATTCGGTTTATTCCCCTCTAATTTGATATATATTCCAAAAATGCTTCTGTGACCTGGAAGGTGCTATGGATCAAATTGTTCTGTATTTATCCAAACAATGTAAGCATTGTTATTTTATTTATTTTTGACACTGACAAGTCTTTGTATTCACACAGCAGAAGATCAGTCTTCTATTTTCCAAGCCTGCTCCTAGCTCGCCGTAATTCTGGGATTTGCTACTACAGTACATTTGTAAGCACCTCCCAGTCACATTTTCACTTTCTTCTTTCGTCTCTGGTAGTCTTCCGGTTTTGCTTACTTAAATAACCCAGACGATGCTAAATAAGTTATGACTTGATTTCCATATTTGCCTGGCATCAGATGTGAAAGGCGAGAGTTAAGCAAATTACAGGAAGTTGCTGTGAGGCTTGTTTTGTGTAGATTGAGGGACTCTGCTGGAATGTTCTCATTCATCTGACTCTTCATGGCTTTTTACACCTCGTGTTTTGTTTTTTTTTTGTTTTGTTTTTTTTAATCTGTTTTTTTTTTTTTTTCCCTTCTGCATCACTTTCAGATGCAGTGACTTATCAGGTGCTAGTTTAGGGTGTACTGTATACAGTTGCAAGAAAAAGTATGTGAACCCCTTGGGATTACGTGGAGTTTTGCATGAATTGGGCATAAAATGTGCTCTGAACGTCATCTAAGTCACAACAATAGAAGAAACACAGTCTGCTGAACATAATACTACACAAACATTAGATGTTGCCATGGTTTAATTGCACATAACATGTAAACATTCACAGTGCAGGGAGGAAAAAGTATGTGAACCTTTGGACTTAACTGGTTGACCCTCCTTTGGCAGCAATAACCTCAACCAAACGTTTCCTGTAGTTGCAGATCAGACCTGCACAACGATCTGGAGTAATTTTGGACCACTTCACAAAACTGTTTCAGTGTAGCAATATTCTTGGGATGTCTGGTGTGAATCGCTCTCTTAAGATCATGCCACAGCATTTCAATCGGGTTGAGGTCAGGACTCTGACTGGGCCACTCCAGAAGGCGTATTCTGTGCTGTTGCAGCCATTGTTTTGTTGAATTACTTGTATGCTTTGGGTCATTGTCCTGTTGCATCACCCATCCTCTGCGGAGCTTCAGTTGGTGGACAGATGGTCGTACGTTTTCCTGCAAAATGTCTTGATAAACTCTGAAATTCATTTTTCCCATCAATGACAACAATCCGTCCAGGCCCTGAGGCAGCAAAGCAGCCCCAAACCATGATGCTCCCTCCGCCATGTTTTACAGTGGGGATGAGGTTTTGATGTTAGTGTGCTGTGCCTTTTTTTCCTCCACACATAGTGTTTGTGTGTTCTTCCCAAACAACTCAATCTTGGTTTCATCTGTCCACAGTATATTTTGCCAGTAGTGCTGTGGAACATCCAGGTGCTCTTTTGCAAACTTCAAACGTGCTGCAATATTCTTTTTGGACAGCAATGGCTTCCTCCGTGGTGTCCTCCCATGTACTCCATTCTTGTTTAATGTTTTCCTTATTGTAAATGTGTCAACAAAAATGTTATCATGTGCCAGAGATTTCTGTAGGTCTTTAGCTGACACTCTGGGATTCTTCTTTACCTCATGCAGCATTCTGCGCTGTGCTCTTGCAGTCATTTTTACAGGATGACCACGCCTAGGGAGAGTAGCAACAGTGCTAAACTTTCTCCATTTGTAGACCGTCTGTCTTAGCGTGGACACATGAACATCAAGGATTTTGGAGATACTTTTGTAACCCTTTCCAGCTTCATGCAAGTCAACAATTCTTGATCGTAGGTCTTCTGAGAGCTCTTTTCTGCGAGGCATGGTTCTCATCAGACAGTGCTTCTTGAAACCAATAAACCCAAAACAGTTGTGTGTTTTTTAAGGGCAGGACAGCTGTCAGCAACACATCCAATACCATCACACTGATTGGAGTCAAGGTTGGCTCACTCCTGGCTCCAATTAGCTCTGGGAGAAGTCATTAAGCTAGGGCCTCACATACTTTTTCCTCCCTGCACTGTGAATGTTTACATGTTCTGTGCAATTAAACCATGGCAACATCTAATGTTTGTGTAGTATTATGTTCAGCAGACTGTGTTCTTCTATTGTTGTGACTTAGATGACGTTCAGAGCACATTTTATGCCCAATTCATGCAAAACTCCACGTAATCCCAAGGGGTTCACATACTTTTTCTTGCAACTGTAGTTGGCAGTATTAGAAAAAGAAATCAAATTTATAAAAAAAAAGAGCATGTGAACACTTGGCTGGGCAGCCAATCTGTCTGATTTTGTCTAATTTTGAAGTGGAAAAATGTCCAGTAAAAAAAAAAATCAAATTTCGTCATAAATTTAGTCCAAAATGTATTCTGCTACATGTCTTTGCTAAAAAAAAATCCCAATACGTGTAAATTAATTTGGTTTGCATGAAAGTTTTAGTGTCTACAAATGGCGGTATATATATTGGGATTTTTTATTTTTACTAGTAATAGCGGCGATCAGCGACTTCTAGCGGGACTGCAGCAGGTATTCTGACACTGGGGGGGGACTGACTTGGTGTCACTGGCATCCCCAGTGACACCAATACAGTGATCAGTGCTAATAAAAAGCACTGACACTGTACTAATGACACTGGGTAGGAAGGGGTTAACGTGGGGCGATCAAGGGTTAACTGTGCTGTGTGTGTGTGTTTCACTGTAAGCACACTGCTATGCATGGCTCTGCTATGCAAAGCCATGCATAGCAGTGTGCAGGAGCTGACGTGGGTGAGAACTGTATTGTTTACCTACAGTTGTCTCCCTCCGTCACTAATGCTCCTCGTTCACTGGGTGCTGGTGAGTAAACACCATCTAGGCCCGGTGATTGACAGCCGAGGCCGTGAATAGCAGTGTGTGTGTGTGTGTGTGTGTGTGTATTGTGTGTGTGTGTGTATATATATATATATATATATATGTAATGTGTGTGTGTGTGTGTATATGTGACTTTGCGCAACCGTGCCACCCTGTAGCAGTACTGCTATAGGGCGGATGGGAAGCGGTTAATATTGTACTCAACAGTTGTTAATTTATTTAAGCTTTAACATTTAAATATTTTACATTAAGTTTATTTTTATTAACTTTTGGTATGCGATTTTGCAGAAATGCACTACAGTCCATCTAACATTAGTTCCTCTGAGTGAAATTCACATCTATGCTGTTTCCACTAGTGAGTTTTTGGAAAGGTGCAGCACAGTGCATGTGTTTTTTGGTGTGATATCCTGCATAACAGACACCTCCTCCCTAGCAACATTAAAGGATTAGTTCACCTTTTGGAAACATGTTACATGTTCCACCTGTTCCCCCACCCCCCAATCTGCTGATCGCAGGTGCAGTGATTTACAGCTTCGCAACAAAAAAAATTGCCGTATTTTTCGCTCCATAAGACGCACCTGACCATAAGACGCACCTAGGTTTTAGAGGAGAAAAACAAGAAAAAAAATATTCTGAACCAATGGACTGCAGACACAGTACAGGAGATGACCAGAGACTGCGGACACAGTACAGGAGATGACCAGAGACTGCAGACATAGCACAGGGATGACCAGAGACTGCGGACACAGTACAGGAGATGACCAGAGACTGCAGACACAGTACAGGAGATGACCAGAGACTGCAGACACAGTACAGGAGATGACCAGAGACTGCGGACACAGTACAGGAGACGACCAGAGACTGCGGACACAGTACAGGAGACGACCAGAGACTGCGGACGCAGTACAGGAGACGACCAGAGACTGCGGACGCAGTACAGGAGATGACCAGAGACTGCGGACGCAGTACAGGAGATGACCAGAGACTGCGGACGCAGTACAGGAGATGACCAGAGACTGCGGACGCAGTACAGGAGATGACCAGAGAGACTGCGGACGCAGTACAGGAGATGATGACCAGAGACTGCGGACGCAGTACAGGAGATGACCAGAGACTGCGGACGCAGTACAGGAGATGACCAGAGACTGCGGACGCAGTACAGGAGATGACCAGAGACTGCGGACGCGTACAGGGGATGGCCAGAGACTGCGGACGCAGTACAGGGGATGACCAGAGACTGCGGACGCAGTACAGGGGATGACCAGAGACTGCGGACGCAGTACAGGGGATGACCAGAGACTGCGGACGCAGTACAGGGGATGACCAGAGACTGCGGACGCAGTACAGGGGATGACCAGAGACTGCGGACGCAGTACAGGGGATGACCAGAGACTGCGGACGCAGTACAGGGGATGACCAGAGACTGCTGACCTTTAGGGAGGGAGGGGGAGCGGGTACCTGAATTTGACAGGTACCCGCTCCCACTTCCGCGGAGTTGTCCTCCCTTTACTGTGGGCACCCGGCTGTGATAGCTGGGTGCCCACTGCACATGCGTGAGAAGCGCTGCACTGTGAATGGCCCGGCGTCTTCTGGGACCTGTCGTGTCCCACAAGACGCCGGACCATTCGGGAAGACTGCGCAGCGCTGGACCAAGGAACAGGTAAGGTCCTGCATCTGAGAACAGCCTGGCCCGGGATTCTGACATGGTGGCGGCGGGAATACCGGACTGTCCGCTCTATATTCGCTGCATAAGACCCACTGACATTTCCCCCCTTTTTTGGGGGGAAAAAAGTGCGTCTTATGGAGCGAAAAATACGGTAACTTTTTTTTTTTTTTTTTTTTTTTTACCTGCAAAAAAAAAGTGCATTTATTTTTATTAAGCGTGAATTTGGCTTTTAACACATCACAAAATTGCAAAACTCATAAAAAACACTCTAGGAAACTGGGTTTCAAAAACGCATCTACCTCCTATACTGCATATATGTGAACCTAGCCTTAAAGTGATATTAAAGGCAGATATTTTTAAAAATAACAAACATGTCATACCAGCTCTGTGCAGTGGTTTTTGCAACCCCGATCCTCTTCTTCTCGGGTCCCCCTGCTGGTACCCCTGCCTAGTGCCCCCAGAGCAAGCAGCTTTCAATGGGGATGCCTGAGCAGGCTCACTCCCCAACATCCTTAAATCCCAAATCAAACTTTTCTTGCAACTGTTTGAAACTGCATAAAATATCAACTTGATATATGCCAGACAGTAATTTAATCCCATGTTTGTTTGTTTTTTTTTTTTTTTTAAATCTCGTCATCTGGAATAGTATGTAGGTGAGGGAGCAACATATTTGTCTCAATAAGGGAGGGTGTGTAAAAACGCTGTTTAAACTCTTTCTTGGCTATTGAAACAGCATGGCCAGCACCTGATAGGCAAGCTATGAGCATGTCTGTTGTAGAGAATATATCTTGTTGGTCTACACTTTGTTGTCAGGCAAACACTGCAGACGTGATGGGGCAATGTTGACATAATTGTCCATCCAGAGGCCACCATTGTTTTGACATGGGGCTGAATTGTCTGATAGCATCACCAGTTATTTTGTGGGCTTTGCTGGACAGGTAGGAAAGCATAAGAGCAGAAATTCTTTAATTTTAATGCTGCTTTACATATGGGTGTGTGGGTTTTTTTTTTTTTTTTTTTGGTGGTCTACTTTAATCCCCTAACAACCTAGAAAGTGATAAAGTGTCAGAAAGCACTCCCACAAGCATGATCTGTGCTGAAATTGGCTGTTCATTTTTCATATTGCAACTCTATTGTTATTGTTGTAACAAGAAGAATTCTAAAAAAAAAAGCTCAATTTTGAATAGTTATTACTACTCCTAGTTGAATATTCATATATTGCACCCATGTAAATGGCACATAGTTGGCTTTGCATGGTGACCGTCATCTATGAGAACTCAGAGGGTTGCTGAGTGTATGCCGGACATGAAACTTTAGGTTGTTGGCTTCCACTATCTCTTACTGTCCTATACTCCAGAAAGTCTAAGTTTTGATTATAGCTGAGCCTTTCAGCTGCCTACCGTGGGGGGTCCATTGATGTCTCCAACTTTGTAAAATTTGGAAGGCCTCCCCTCCCAGTCTCAAATGTGATGTTTGCTGCAACAAGACGCAGTGTGTCACTTAGCAGTGTACACATTGTAGTGACAGGGCCAGGCCTCATTAGACAGTCTGTGCCGCTCCTTCATTGTTAATTATTATATGCTTTTATAATTCCCAGCTGGCAAGCTCTGAGCAGACATACAACATGGAGGTCTTTTTTTGTTTTACCCTTTCTGTGTTCTGTTTGTGTCCCCAGTGATTCAGTCCTAGTTGCCCCGCTTAATAATTTATTCTCTTGCTGCCTGATTCCATCTGACTCCCGAATGCATGTTACAGGGAAAGCCGTCTGTTCGGCTTTATGCAGCATCTTTCAGTAGAATACAGAATATCCCTCCAAAATGTCAGCAATGTAATGTTTTATGTATACATGAATGCATATTATTCATTCAGTAAACATTTCCTGAGCGCTAAACTTGTGCTTGCAGAGCGTTAGTTCTCTATAGAAAATGTGCACAGCACAATCGTAATTTAGAAATGTGACACAATAGGAAATAAAAAAAAAAAAAAAAAAAAAAAAAAAAAAGCTGCATCCTGCAAAAAATAAATGCTCATTCAGAACGAAGCACTTTTTATAAAGTCCTGTTTTACAGCTATGGAATAGCTCAATTCCTTTATGACGCTGGTTATTTTCTTCTTAAATTGGATTTTATACAGACCTGTAATAAGCAGGTGTAATAGAAGCTGGTGTTGTCTCATATCAGTTTGTGAACAGTTAAGCCCAAGCTCTGCTCATCTCCTGATATTCACATCCTCTTAGGCTGCTTTCATACTGATCTGGTTTTCTTCCGCTTTTGCGTTTTTAAAAAAAGGGGAAGAAAAACGTGTGATTATGTATTCCTATAGAACTCTTCACACAATGATCCATTGTCGATCCGGTCCGTTTTTTTTTTAAATCCTGCTTGCTGCATTTTTCGTGCAGGTAAAAAAAAAAAAACATAGCAAAAACACACCCCCATTGAAGTAAATGGAAAACACAATTTTTGAGTTTACACGGTAAAAAGCAGCAAAACACATATGCCACACTTATCAGTGTGAAAGTAGCCTTAACATTCAAGTTTCATGGACAATGTGTGGTGTAATGATTGCTCCCTGACAAACTATATGATTGCTTGGTATGTCTGCTTCTCAGTTTGTCACTTGCTGATGGGGAGTGTGAAAACACCAATCTTATGGGCGTTTTTTTTGTGCTATTGGGTAATTACCATGTTTGTCTCAAATCATTACTCTATTTTGTCTTGCTCTACTGTTCAGTTGGTGAGGACAGAGATACATCCACCAAAATGCATGTCACCTGTACACTGCATTATTCAAATCTGCTCCAAATTAAAAGGTTGGAGTGGGGGTGCTTAGGTGTATATCACATGTTGACCCTAAATACAGGTGTAACATGTTCCCAGAGGAGAACATGGCCCTTAAGCTAACTGAATTGGTTGACATTCAAGCTAAGTGTGGTTGTATTTGCACCATCATGCTCAGCAAACTTCTGCTGAAAAAACAGACGCAGGGTAGAAAATTGTTGGTCCAACAGTGTCCGCATGGTATCAGATGCAGTCACTATTTGGGTATTCAAGCAGCCGCAGGTGTCGTGGCTGCTTGAATACAATAGCTGACAACTGAGATTACTGTAGCCATGCTGTTGAGGGTGGATGAAGGAACATGTTAGAATTCTGTTTGTGTATGGCTAACGTTAGACCTGCTTTATTTCACACAAAGCGGAGAAATCTGATTTTGGGTACAACTTAAAATTCGTGGTGTGTGTGTTCGTTCCGACTAAGATATCATTATACAGCGTCTGCTTAATTCACTTTCTTTTGTAAGCTGACCTAAGTGTGACAAGTGATGCCACTAATTTATGCAGAAAAGTAGAGTAGGTATCCTGTGTCACTTAATCATTAGTTTTCCACTGGAAGCAGTAACTCTCTCCTACTGAATACATGCCAGGCACAGCATGATAGTTTAACTAGAAAGATAAGTGGTGGAAGGCATTCTGCTGTAAGGTGAAAAAACAAATTCTGGTTTTGTTCTCAAACAGGATCATCTCACAAAAATGTGGACCTTTCTGCCCACTTAATTTCTCCTGGTTTTGACGTCAGTAAGTTAACAGCCTGTTTTAGATGTAAAAATTCCAGGGAAGCTGAAAATGTATATGGAGCCATCCTGTTTTGAAACATGTGGAGTGTGTTGTGTATCATTCATTTCATTGGCATGGTTTTCTTCTGTCAGTTTTATTATTTATTATTCTTATGTATTATACAGGATTTATAGAACTCCAACAGTTTGTGTAGCACTTTACAATATAAAGGGTACAATTACAATGCAGTTCAATACAGAAGGAATAGGTTCTGCTCCTAGAGCTTACAATCTAAAGGAAAGGGAGGTGATACAAAAGGTGACAGCTGCAGGGGATGATCTGATAAGGTGACTCTAGTACAGTTCTTAGGTGGAGTTTAGGTAGGCTTCCCTGAATATAAGTGAGTTTTCAAGGATCGCCTAAAGGTGGACAGGGTGGGTGCTGACCAGGCATACTGGGGTAGGGAGCTCCAGAGGATGGGAGATGTTCTGGAGACGTCCTGGAGGCAAGCAAGGGAGGAGGTGAGAAGGGAGCTAGAGAGCAAATTTGTAAATTGTATTTAATGTGTAACGTGATAAATGTTTGTTTTTTTCTTTTCTCAAACACAGGACCATGGTCGTTTTGTAAATTGTGTGCGGTTTTCACCTGATGGAAACAGATTTGCAACTGCGGGTGCAGATGGTCAGGTACATTAGAAACCAAAAACTGCTTTTCAAAAAATCTTCATTCCAAGACTGGACACACTGCTACTACAGATATTGCACTACTGCTTTCTATTTCACAGGTATAGAGCGCGGTAGTGTCACTATGTACAGAGGACCCTGCTCTTTGAAGCTTACAGTCTAAGAGGGAGGCTCAAGAGATACAAAATGTAATAACTGTGAGGGATGAGCTGATGGAGAGAAAATACATATACAGTTGTTAGGAGGGGGCAGGGTAGGCCTCTCTGAAGAGATGATTTTTCAGGGATTATCTAAAAGTGGACAGTGTAGGAGATAGTCGGACAGATTGGGGTATGGAGTTCCAGAAGATGAGAGAGGCTCTGGAGAAGTCCTGGAGGTGAGCATGGGAAGAGGGAACGAGAGCTGGTGAGCAGGAGGTCTTGGGAAGAATGAAGAGAACAATTAGGCTGGTATTTAGAGACTAGATTAGTGATGTAGCTGAAGGCTGAGTTGTGGATAGCATTGTAAATTGTTATTGGTTAGTATTTTGAATTTAATTTGATGGGTGAGTGGAAGCCAGTGGAGGGATTGCCAGAGAGGGGTAGCAGACACTGAGCAGTTGGTGAGGTGGATGAGTCTGATGGCACCATTCATGATGGACTGAATAGGGGATAGCCTATGTAAAGGTACTTCAGGAGGGAGTTGCAGTAGTCAAGGCGTGAGTTAACTAGACGTTTTGTGGTG